TAGAGACATTCGCCATGTCAGTCCTTTGAAAAACTAGAAGACATGTGGCCCGAAAGCATCATTTGCGAAGAGTTTAACGCTATGTAAAGTCAGAGAGTGAAGTACGAAAAGTCATAGAGTCAAGTGCACAGTTTGAGTACGTAGGATCTAGTGCATAGAGTCATATTGTCGCAGAGTCAAGTGCATAGAGTCATCAAGTACAAAGTCCAGTGCATAGAGTCAAGTACATAGAGTCATATAGCCGAGTGCATAGATGCACAGAGTCTCTTTGCGCACTGATGTCGATGTATATGTTTATCACCCAATTCACTATGCACTTGACTCGATGTACTTGACTCTATGGACTCTCCGTGTATCTCCACTCTATGTTTATCGTCACTTCACTCTGTGTTTGTCACCCGCAATCGACTCTATTTACTATACCTTACATGTACTTGACTCTATGTTTATCGTGACTCTATGTTTATCATCTATTATCATCTATGTAATTCTCTCGATGGCTTCGTACAGACGTACAAGGTTGCGCGGGAACCCTATTATAAAAGTTGCAAGTTTATCTCCACTCGACCACGCCAATCTCCGAAAAGGGTTGCGCACGAACCCTGCGGGAACCCCAAAAGTTGCAACTTTACCGCGTTCGCGCGCTCGACCACGCCTATCCACGCAAAGGGTTGCGCGGGGCGCCTAAAGTTGCAACTTTAGCTCGCGTTCACGCGCTCGACCACGCCAATCCACGCAAAGGGTTGCGCGGGGCCCTTAAAAGCTGCAACTTTACCTCGCGTTCGCGCTCTCGACCACACCAATCCACGCAAAGGGTTGCGCGTCACGGCTAAAAGTTGCAACTTTACCTCGCGTTCGCGCTCTCGACCACGCCAATCAGCGCAAATGGTTGCGCGTCACGCCTAAAAGTTGCAAGTTTACATTGCGTTCGCGCGCTCGACCAAGCCAATCCACGCAAAGGGTTGCGCGTCACGCCTAAAAGTTGCAAAAAGTTGCAACTTTACCTCGCGTTCGCGCGCTCGACCACGCCAATCCACGCAAAGGGTTGCACGTCACGCCTAAAAGTTGCAACTTTACCGTACCTCGCGTTCGCTCGCTCGACCACGCCAATCCACGCCAAGGGTTGCGCGGGGCGCCGACAAATTGCAACTTTAACTCGCGTTCGTGCGCGCGACCACGCGAATCCATGCAAAGGGTTGCATTTCCGATCGATGGCATCGGTGCTGGTTCCGGC